GGAGGAAAACCGTAACCAAAGTCATGTTTCAGTTCTCGGCCTCCCATCAAAGGCATACATCACGACTTCAAGATGTGGAGTGTTAAAACTTCATTCATAGAAAGTGCATATGAATGATTAGCAAAGGCTGAGGCAGGATGCAGCAGACTCTCCTTTCATTGAAAAAGAAATCATAAATGAACAAGTCAACAAACAGTGAAACAAAAAGAGGCCAAGTTTGGGTTGCGATAAAGCATGTTATAGTAAGTTTTTTGTCTTTTTTCACAGTGAAATGCTTTCCCCTCTGGCTCTAGTTTCCTGTTTTTAGCTTCTTGTACATCATTAACAAGAAGTTGGAGATAAATACCATACCCCAAGTGATCTACAATACCGCAAAGAGAAGAAGCCTCTGACACATCAAACATTCAATCCATGTCATATTTGGAGCAAAGAAACAGCCACCAATAAAAGATGAAATGACTTGGTATTCGACTAAACGGAGCATATATGCCTGTAAAATGCACTACTATAAACTGGGTTGATTCATTATGATGTCAAACTGAGTATGCATGTAAAATGTCAGTCAATCAAATAAGAATGTACTGATAACACATATATAAGAGAGGATACTCCAATTTCTAGATTAAAAGATCTTTCCTTCAACGTCTTATGGGTTGGAATAAATGCAGTACCAGGAGAAGAGCTATGTTGTAAGTAGTTTGGTAGTTTTTGACTTCTTTTTTTATACTTTCAGTGTATGGGAGGTGGATACCCTCTTTTTGGTACCTTTATTGATATGCATTTGAAAGGGAGAAATAGTCAATGTAGGCAGAGAAATAAAACAGAAAAATATTTACAAGGTAGTGCTGTTACATATATGAGCAAAATCAAAACAATTAGAAACACAAGAAGGGAATCAACCCCCAAGAGGCTGTAAGCAACCCACCAGATTCCATCCACTGATATCAACCAATAATCTCCCTCTTGTTATCAGGTCCAAAGGTTATTGGACAATGCCCTTGCCAAATTCTTGTTTCCTAGAATTTTCTCCAACAAATGTAGCAATCGACAAGGCACTTTCAAGGAATCATTTCAATATCCTGATGGCGAGCTCTTGCTTCCTTGTTTGTGAGACAACAATTCTCATTGCACCAATTCACATCTTCATCTTCATCATCCCTTCATTATTCGCATCCTCAAGGTTGGAGTCTGAAGACCCCACATCCTCAAATTCAGATTCTGAAGAGTCATTTGATCTCTCTACTTCTTCCTCCCTGCTTTTATATTTAGCTTTTCTTTCTATCCCTTTTTTGGTAGATGAAACCTGCCTTTGCAATTGAGAATGTGAAACACCACCAACTGATTTTCTTCTCTTCTTCTTAGCTTTACTCATAAGACGAATATACCTAAACCTCATTCCCATTAGAAGATGCTTATGCACTAAGAAGCCCTTCCTATAAGCCTCTTTAAGCACCACAGTCTGTGTCCTAATCTTATTGGAAACATAAAAAATCCCTGGATGATGCACCAAAGCCTTATTAAACCTGTTCCCAAACCCCAAATAATCCCCCAATTGAAGCACATTCTCTTTCTCCGTCTTCTTTGACACTAACAACCACAACAACTCATGTAAAACCGTGACAGTCCACTTCTCAGCTTGATCCCCATTGGGATTCAAATGAAAAGCATTTTCATAGGGCGATATGTATGGCAAACCTTGCCATTCAAAAACCCAATCTCTCACTTTCTTCTTTAAATCAAACCCATTTGGGAAATTTAAAGGAAACCCAATTCTCTCCCCTCTCTTAACATTCCTCAAATCCTCAAGTGACACTCTTTTCTCCATTTCAGACACAGCTAACTCATCTTTCCAAGAAACCAGCTCTAAAAAGAACGTGTCTTTATTAGTTAAACAATCTTTATCCTCGCAGACATTGAAATATTCAGGATAATCTGATAAAAGGGCAGTAATATAATCATGAGGCAAACCCAAATCATACTTGAACCTATCAACAATATGCAAAGGCAATCTTTTTGCCCCGGAAAGCATTAAGAGTTTAGCTAACCTTTTTATGGTGTCATCACGTAAAGGTTGTGACTTTAGAATTAGTTGCTCCTCCTTGTGAAGTGAGATAGCTTGAGGGCTGAGTTTGATGTGGAAGGGGAGGGAAGGGGAGGGCTGGAATTGAGAGAAAACTGTGGAGTACTTGTGGAAGAAATTGAGGGCAGTAGTGGAGAGGTTGAAGTAGGGTTTTAGAAGGGAAAGAGAGGAAAGAGGGAGGGATTTCGAGGGAGAGGAAATTAGTTGGTTCTTGAAAGAAATGACTTGTTTCAAGTCTTTTTCTTTGGAAACAGCTGTGTCAAGGTAAGGGTCACAGACCCATTGGATCCTGGCAGCTATGAAGGTCCTGGCTTGGTTGAGTTGGTGTGAGAGTTTGATGCTGTAGAGAGACATCATCATCTCTCATGGAAGAAAATGGAATTGATGCTACTGTGTTCACAGTGTTGGGGAAGCGGGAGCGGTGAAGGATTGTTTTCTTAGTGATCAATGGTTTCCAGAGACGAAAACAGTAATCTTTAAACTTATATGCAGTGACAAGAGAGGATGAGAAAGCCGAATGACTAATTAAACAGAGAAAATTGAGTAAAATTAATTTTAAAAAAATTGTACTGAGAAAAAAACTTCAAATGAACAGTTTTTTCACCATCAATTCTCCTTTGAATACCAATTGAAAAGTTTATTCATATATTTAATAAAATAAATTAAAAATTATATTAATAAATAATAATAAATATACTGATTCCAATCAAGATTGAGTCAGTAAGCTATGAAAAAAAAATTCTTAGAAAAAAAAGGTTAAATATTCATTTTAATTTAAAATTAAATTCCTCAAATTTTAATTAATTTTAATTAATAAAATTAAATATTAACTCAACATCAAAATTTATTTTTAATACTATAAAAACTCTAAATAAAATAAATCAAAATAAAACACCAAACTCAATTCCAAGTTAATTTAATGTAAAAATATTAAATTGAGAATAAAATATTCAAGTGACAAAAAAAACAAAAAAAAAACATTACACTTAGGGTCTAGATTCCATGTTATATTGAGTTTTTCATGGTTATTTTATTCTATATTATCCCATTTCAAATATTATTTTATTGTTTATAATTTTACAATATCAAGTTAAATTAGGAACACAAACAAATAAAAAGAAGGGAATTTTTTTGGGTCTAGATGTAATTTTCTCTTTTTCATCCATCTATCTCTCATATATTATAAGTATAGGTAGGAACCATATATTTTTTTGAGGAGAGAAGTGGAGAAGAAATAATAAATAGAAATAGATAAAATATATAATTTCTAAGACTACAAGACTAATTATTTAGTTTCATTAAACTACAGGGACGAACTTTATAAGTAACTCCATCTTACAAAGCTTTAACCACCTTCTCTTCTCCAACCTCCGCAACCTCGGAAATCTTGAAATGGAAGAAAATTACAGAGCATCATCATACGACTACGACGAGCTCTTCGTCAAATCTCTGTCTCTTTTTTCAATCTCTCAGAACCATCTCCTACTCCTCCTCCTCCTCCTATTCCTCCTTCTCCTCCTCTTCCTAGCATTTCTAGTATTTTTCTACAACTTTTTTGAGATACACTTTCTCGCCGATTTACTCACCGCCTTCAGAGGCAACCCTGTGTCGCTCACCTATAATCCCAGCTCTCAACTCTACACATCCGTCGCTTCCAATTGCCGCATCCTCCACGGAAGGTTTTTGCCTACTCCATGGCTATCAAGTCCTCATCTCCAAACAGCTTTCTTGAATTTTGTTGCAAAATCTCCTCATGTCACCTACAAAAGGTTATTTTTTCTTTCTTTTTTCTCTTTGCTTTTGTTTTTTTCTGCAGACCCTAATTTTATACGTTTATTTTTTTGTACTCTGCAGACACATGTTTTATGCTACTGATGGCGGTACCATTGCTCTGGACTGGCTAATGTCTTCTGATGGTTAGTATAATACAAATTTTACGTGAAACTAGCTGAATCTTGAAGAAAACATGAGCTATCTTTGACTAGATTATGATAAAAAAATTTCAATCTTTGATGCAATAATTCGCAATGGCATTGGTGTTTGATCTTTTTTTTTTCCCTCGTTGAATCGTACTGGAGAACTTATGTAACTTGAAGTAAGCTAGGATTACTGCTAGGTCGAGTTCATCTTTTATCCACTGCACATTATGATCACTCTTGCTTGGAGTTTCCCAATATATTATTTTCTGAAAAGATGCAAACTTTGGGTCGAGTTGTGATTACGGTGACTTCGAACCTTGGGTCGAGTCGCGTGTATCATTTTTTATTGGGGAATGATTTATGTCTTGAATTTAACATGTGTGTTTTATATTTTTGCTGCTTTACTTGTTGTTTGGTATTGTTTAAATCTAATTTTTGCTTCTTAATTTTTCAGTTAAAGGTGCTTCCGGCACAAATGATGCGACTCGAGAAAATGATAAAACTCCTATTTTGATAGTGATTCCTGGCTTAACAAGTGACTCGGGTTCTGCTGTAAGTCCTTTTTATCATTTTGAAATTGAAGTTTTTTTCATTTTCATGTAGTTGGTACCTTCTGCTGGAGATTCCTTCACTTCTCGCGTTCATCCCCTAAGCAGGACCTCAGTTGGCTGAATAGAAGTAACTTAAGTTCCTTTTTGATGCTGCCCTTTTCAGTTATGTTGGTGATAGACATGCTGCAATAATTGTTGTGTCTCTTTTGAGGAGGTTTTTTCCCCCTCTTGTGGTCAGTAGGGTTTTTTTCCTTTCTCCTTTTTAAATGTCTCATGGAATTTTACGGTGCAACAGTATGTAAAGCATATTGTAGATAAGATGGCAAAGCATGGCTGGAATGTTGTTGTGAGCAATCATCGCGGACTTGGAGGCATATCAATAACTGTGAGTGTCAAATATTATATGCAAGCTTTTAAAACAACTTTTCCTTTCCATTCTTCATGGAGCACCTCTCTCTCTCTCTCTCTGTTCCCCTTTATGAATATTATACGTAAGGGCTTGCATTCATTAAGAAGTCATTGCATTTAGTATGATATCATCCAAACAAGGTTTTTGAAGAAGAAAAACAACAAATACGGAAGAGGGGTACAGGCTAGTAATTGTATCTTGACTTTGAAATTTAGTGAGAAAGAAAAAAAATGTTAGAATTTTTGAAGAATTTGACAGATCGGTTAAACCAAATTGAAAATCTTGTGAAGTTTGTTCTTTTGGTTTTCTTTTTCCACAGTTAAATTCTTGGAATATCTTTTAGTTGTTGTTAAAGTACTGGATCCTAGGCTTCGACTTTCCTCCTCTCTCACTCTCTTTATTTTACAACTTTATTGTCCCTACATATGATAGATTTTGGGTTACAACCAAGAGCTTATAGGTTACAGGAAAAGAGCAGTGTTTTGATTTAAAATTGTTTTAGAGGTGGGACTCTCTCTACGGTTTTCCTTCACAAAACCTTGTTTCAGTGAAACAGAAACTCAGTTAATTAACCAGAAGTTTATGAAAAAGCATCAGACATGTTGTGCTACATGCCCACATGGACAGATCATCAAAAGCCAAATAAAATAAGTAGCAAAAGCTTTTCAAGAAAATGCACATGGCTTCACTTTGTTAAATAGTTTTCTCTTAAGGTAGTTGTCACAAGTTAAAATACTGGAATGGAAGAAGGCAATTTACAAGAAACCTTTCTTTCTATTCATCCAAGTGAATAAAAGAAATATACTGCTAAGATGCAGGGAGCTCTTTTTGTTTCTTTTTTTTGTGACAATTCTGAATGTGAAATTGCTCATTCACAGACTTTTATGCCCATGGGTTTCTCTTTTTTTTGTTGAGAGGGGATTTTATATATGTTATTTTGTTAATAGATAATGTGCTTAATGAGGATCTTGTTATTCAGAGAATATTCAACTTTGCATAATTGTGGCTGCTTTTCTTTTTTAGGTTGCTTGAATATGTTTTCTTAAATGTCAAACTTTCATGTGTGTTTTGAGCTGCATCAAAGCTTGTTCTGACATCTCTTAGGGTCTGTACTTATTACAATAAATTGTTGACTAACAAGGTCATTTGTTATAAATATATATGGTCAGTCTGATTGCTTCTACAATGCTGGGTGGACAGAGGATGTACGAAAGGTCATTGATCATATTCATTGTCAATATCCTGAAGCTCCTTTATATGCTGTTGGAACTAGTCTTGGCGCAAATATTTTGGTATGCTTTTCCTTTTATTTTTTCCCTACTTGTGAAGGAGTATGTGTAGTTTTTATCTTGAAAGACATCATATTGTCATCTCAATAAACTACCTTCCTGATGAGATTTTTATATATTTCATTTTTAACCTGCCGCATGGCCATGTTGCTTCATGGTTTATAATGCCAATGCCTCCTGGTAGATATTGCTAAATGGATTATGACTTTATCAAATTCTGAACGAGTTTGATTTGTCTAATTTGGAGGATATACTCTAACCATTCTTATTTATAGTGGATTTGTTAAGCTAAATCACACAGTTGGTAGGATTCTTTTTGATGCACATTGAACAAGGGTGTATACTAGAAATTGCTTTGTTTAGAGTTGGAACTTTGAATCCAAGTGATGTGTTGTTAACTTTAATTGTTCCAGGTGAAATATCTGGGAGAAGATGGGGTTAATTGTCTTCTTGTTGGAGCTGCGGCTATCTGCTCTCCTTGGGACCTTTTGGTGAGTGCTTCATCTATATTTACATGTTATGGGAGTAGTTATATCTTTGCAGTTTTTGTATTTATCTATTGCCATGCCAGATCAGGTACCTTGGTGTTTCATTGGCACATCTTGATTTTTTAAGATGCAAGATATTGCAATTTATATATTCTTATTCGCCCCAGCAATGAAAACAGTTATGTGACCAGAAAATGTTAAAGGTAGATGTTGGTGTAGTGGGGCTCCAACAACCAGCGACATGTTGAAGTGAATCGTAGAAACTAAAATGTCTTCCACACAGAGAGAAAACATCTTCATTTTCTTTTGCTTTGTTTTCCTGAGAAAATTGCACAGCCATTACTTCCTAATAAGTGGGTTCCTCTAGAAGTACTAGTACAGTGAGAATGTAGATCTAGTTCTTCTTTACTTGCGGTTTTAGTTAAAGAATAAATTTACAGGTAGAATTTTAAGAGTACGTCATTAATGAGAAGAAGACTATATAGGGTGGTGGTGGAAGAGAAAAGAGACCACACCTGTTGCTGCTTTTGCTAGAGCAATGTTGGGAAGTAACCAGATGGGATCTAACAACCAGCATTTCACGTGAAGTTGCTGTTGTCTGATGACTCACTTCTGCTTTGCAGCATGGCATGGGATTTGTCCCATTGAACGGAACCACTTGCCTTCGAGTGGATAAACTAGAAAAGAGAAGAAATTAAAGGAGAGGGAATAGAAGGAACAACTTGCGTATCTTCATTGATTGTGGAGTACTAAAAGGAATAACTTGTCTTGCCAACTGCTCCCCATGCCTCATGTGCTTCGGAAAATTGCAAAATTTGTTCACATTAAAGGAATTTCTCAGTTTCTTTTTGCAAAGAAAGTATGATAGTTCTATTAAAAAAAAGAAAAAAAAGTTTGCAGTTGTCACAGTAAAATGGAAAATGGGTTGTGCAATAGTGATTGAACTGCAAAATCATGAACGTTAAGGATATTCTCTCAGTAGATATTTGATGGATATTAGTCTGTTCTAATAGGAAGTGTCTTTGCACTGGGTTTCCTTGGGCTTGCTTGACCAACCAACTTGGTTGTTTATATTAAATTTATGTGGTTTTTTATATGAATTTGTATAGGTTTTACATATAGTTTTTATTGAATGTTCATCCATATGAATTCCATGTGATGCGACCAACTATTTCTTTGATCATCTCTCCCTCTATATGCTTGGTTGTCTTTCACTTGGAAGTTCTTGTTCAAAATATTCCAAGCTTGTTTGAATCTATAATGTCATGATTTTATTTTATTGATACAATACTTAAAAGAAAAGACACATAATTCTCCAGTGGATGTTATTCTGAATATCAACTCTGGTTATGAAATTCCTTCATAAAAGTCAAAATACAACTTTGGAGGCTAAGTAGAAGAGAATTGTTTAAGAAAATTTGTAGAAAAGATGGTGGGATCAATGTCAAGATCTTTAGTTAGTACGAATCTGGACAGGTTCAACTAAATCAGAAGTTACATAAATTGCTTTCTTATTGAATTATAATTTAATATATTATTAAAATCCTTGTTTGTGTTAAGTAATCCACTTATGGAACTAACTGTTGAAAATTATTTGAAGTCCCTCTATTGTTGCTTTACAGATATGTGATAGATTTATCAATCGTAGACTTGTGCAGAAATTGTATGGCAAAGTGCTAACAGTTGGCCTACAAGGTTATGCACAACTGTATGTCTCCATCACTGCTTCACTAATTTTTCTGACAATGAACCTCTTTTTGCTTAGTTATCCTGTGTGAACTACACTTGATCACTTCAAAATTATGATTTCAGCTTGTGTTTTTAATTTTCAAAACTTCCATGGTTATTGTTTTCCAAAGATCTAACTGTATTGTTCTGCAGGCATGAGCCTATCTTGTCACGTCTTGCAGATTGGGATGGTGTAAAGAAGGTAATCGCTCAGTTCCTCAAAAAGCATCCTTATTTCCAGTTAAATGACTCATTATATCCTTATATAATTCATTAAGTTTCCAATATATCATTGTGTTTCTAATTGTGTCAATTATGTCATTGTATAATATCCACCCTCAGTTCCTCAAAAAGCATCCTTATTTTCAGTTAAATGACTCATTATATCCTTTTATAATTCATTAAGTTTCCAATATATCCTTGTGTTTCTAATGGTGTCAATTATGTCATTGTATAATATCCAATTCTCCAATATATTTTTATTTCAAGTTTTTCTTTTAAAATTGACATAATTATATTTTTCATTCTGAAAATACCCTTGAGCTGTACAGGAATATAATTTTAGTTGTTTAAGAAAAGATTGAAATCTTTAGTTTTTAAAATTTTAATGGTTGAATAATTTTTGAACTTTTTATTTCTTAAAACATTTTGATCAATCTTAAGAAATTTTTCTATTATATTCTTATATAACTCAAGGACAACTTTAGAATGAAAAAAAATGTAATTTTGTCAATTTGGGTGAAAAAACTTGACCGAATGACATATTGGAGAATTGAATATTATATAATGACGTGGTAGACACCATTAAAAATGTAGGGATATATTGGAGACTTGTCCAATTATATAAGGACAGTTTGAGCTATTTACCTCTTTATTTCCTTACCAAAATGCGTTGTCTATAAGGATCGGTTATGTTACTTGAATACTTTGACTCCTTAAAAATTAAATTCATATGCTTTTTCTTTAACTGCATTTAATTTGGAAGGGTAATGTAGTTAATGCAATAAAAATAGATGGTCTGGCACAACATTTATTTTCTTTTTTTAATATGTGTGAATAGTCAATTGGGACATCCTTTGTGGGATGGAGGGAGTGCCTTCATTTTATTTCTTTCTTAAACTCCTCTACTTAAAGTGAATATATGAAGTTGGTTGTTGGAGTAGTAAAAATATCATTCGATATGCTTTTAGAAGCAAGCCCATTTTAAACCATAAGGGATGCAATTATATATTTGTGAAGTGATAGTTTTCTAGTTTTTCTTTTTTACTTGTAGAGATATGTATATATTTGTGCGTGCATAAGATGTAAAGTAATCTATACAATAAGTGTAACAGAGACTTACAAATTTCTTTTTGTTCAGCTCATTATGTTTTAGATCCATGCCAACACATGAGATGCTATTTACTAAACTTAATGGTTAAGACATGTAGGAGAATTAGAAAAATATATATAAACTCTCTCTCTCTCTCTCTCCTTACTAACAATGTACACTATAATTTGTTAACACACCAAACAACCTTTGAATATTAACTTTTCACTTTTAACAATTCCTCATATAATTTGTGTTCTTGTACAAATTCCCTCTCATTTTTTAACCTTGTACCAAATGCCACTTTAATATTGCTTTTGGAGTTCAGCAGTCAGTACACTGCTAATGGAGCAAAGCACAAGTTACTTAAGGGCAAATGAAAAAAAAATTGTCATGTAAATCCAATATAACCAAGCCATAGGTGCTGCATTTCCCCCTAGTTTAATTTATGGGACATATTGGATTACCATGCATTCATCTTTAGAGGGATGCTGATTAATGAGATGTTGTATTGTAGCTCTTCACATTCAACATGCTCATCATCATGTTGTCAATTAAATCACATTATGAAACTGCATAAAATAGTTGCTTATTGTCATTATTTCTTTTGAAGTGAGATTGCATTGGAAAGTGGAAAAAGCCTATATCTATATAAAACTTTCCAAATTGATGGTTTAGATATATCACAAGCAAATTATGCTTCTACTTATTTTTAGCAAAATACATTTGGTTGGTACATGCTCTTTAAGAATCCATTGATATGTTGACATGTAAAGATGAAAAGTAATAAGAGGATTGTATTGGTGAAGCAAATGCCTTGCTTTTAAAGAATCTTTTTTTTTCTTTCCTTTGTGTGACAGTCATGTTCTGTTCGAGACTTCGACAACTATGCAACCCGCATTCTTGGAAAATTTGAGGTGAAAGCTGATTGATCCTCATTTTCACCAAAATGACTCATCATTTCTTGATTGACTAAAACCACTGTTCTTTTCCTCAGACTGTTGATGCATATTACAGGCGTTCTAGTTGTGTGAATTTTGTAGGAAATGTATCAGTGCCTCTTCTGTGCATCAGTGCCATGGATGATCCACTTTGTACAAGGGAGGCCATCCCATGGGATGAATGCAGGTAGGGAATCAGCTTCTTTACTTTTCTCCACTCTCTGATCATTTGAGCGTGTGATTTGTTCTTTATTTATGACATTACTTGAATGCTCAACATGGATTTCTTTATTCCGCTATCTCTGTTGCAGCAGGCCCTGACTGGTTGTTGGCTTCCCTAAAACCGCTCCAATTTGGCCTCTACTGACTATAAATGGGGTTGTTTGTAGGCACACAGACACTGTATAAAAGTTCTGGTCACATTTTCCAATTAAATGGAGGCAAAACATTTATCATGAAGCAAAAGTTATTTTGACTAACTAACACATGCTCAGAGATAGAATTGTATAAATACCATATTCCAAAAATTTATGTTGTGCCACAGCTAAAATGCTTTAGTTATAACGTGAAGGGATTTTGAATGCTGCTGACTTCTACTCAGTTAGCTGAGTGTCCTAGTAAACATTTTATTTCACACCTGGAGTTGTCACATAGGGAAGCAATCAACCATGGAGTGATTACAACACTTGCTTTTGAAATTGATAAGGAATCAGGGTGATATTGATGGATTTTAAATTCCCTCATAGTCTGAAAGAACCAGGTAGATGATGCTTAACACAATAGTTTGAAAATGCCACAACATGAAGCATGGTTAAAGATTTAGATATGATCAACAGTATGTGAATAGCATACCAAATGTATGAATTCTAAATTTTCATAACCGGAATAAGTCTAGCTGTTGCCACTATACTTTGAAGCTCATGATATCATGCGTTCAACAATGTTTTCAATCTATGCAACATTAAACTGTTTGATTCCTTACAGGGCAAATGAAAATATTATCCTTGCTGTCACACGGCATGGAGGACACCTTGCTTATTATGAGGGGATATCTGCAGATAGCATGTGGTAACTACTGTCTTCCTTTTTTGGCATGTTTGACAACTCTTTATTATCAAGCATGCATAGACATCTGCAAAAAAATGAGCATGTCAGAGTCTGTTGTAGTCCTATGTGGAGCTCAAGAGTGATTATTTTTTACCATCTATTAAGGGTTTGCATTAGATATTATGTAGGAGCTCACATGCTAACATTCTTTTTTCTTGGATGATAATCAACAATGTTGTCCATCATCTTTAGCAGCAGTTACTGTACGATTCTCATTTGGTCTCTTGATAAACTTGGATTGAATTGTTTTATTCATTTCCTGGCAGGTGGGTGAGAGCTGTAGATGAATTCTTTGATGTCTTGCAGTCTAGCCCATTAAGCAACAGAAGAAAGAAGGTGCAAAATAGTTCGCTAATGATTTTTGGAGTCAATTGATAGAAATTAGCATGCATACATTTTAACACACAAAGAAATGGACAAGGACATGCCACATACTCTAGCACCACAGAGCACATTGCCAGGTCTCATGGAAGTATGAAGGATATATTTTCCTATTGTTACTTCTGCTTGTTAAAATTCACCTTTCAAACATGAGATGGAGGAGAAATTTCCATTATTTGGCGGTGAAAGCCAAATGTTTTTGCAATAATTTAAACCTTTTTTTTTTAGTGGGTTAAAATTCCTGGGAAAGAGATTATGTTTTTGGAACTCAAAGAGATTAAAAGACCAGCTGTTTCCAGTGTTCAGTCATCCGATCAACTGTTACCAGTTATATTTGTCTTGCGGTGGGAATATCTGAATTTAAATCTTCCAACCCAAGCATTGCAAGGGGACACCTTATTCTAGTTTAACTGTCAGTTTCCAGGAAGTTGAAATTTCTTTGTTTGGTTGTCTTTCAGGTGGAAGGGCCTAGCGTGTCCATTCTTCCAGAGCCTTCAATTGATCAAGGACCTTATGTGAATGCCTCGGAGGATGGCATGGTGACTGCTGTTGGCAACAGTCAAGAAGATTTCATAGCTGAAGATGAATGCAATGAAGATGAGGACCACATCAGGAAGGATGAAGATGCCATTTTGCACGAAGAAAGAAGTGATCTTTTGACAGAGAAAACCCATTGTAAAGTTGACCTCAACCAGCCATTGGATCAGAATGTCAATGATTTGGATGTTCCTGTTAGAAGACGAATGGATCAGCTTTTACGACTGAATAGAAATTCGATCTGGCTCCTTGCTTACATTGCTATCGTAACAACCTGGCCCCTTGTCGGTTCTGCACTTCTTCCCTTTCTCAAGAAAAGATTCAAGAGCATCATACCATCTGCTTTGCGTAGAAGATAGCAATCTCAGTGGGTAATGATAATTATTTACTTTGCTGTATAGTAGTCATTCTTGATGAAGATAAAATGTGATGAATTATTTTCTTGAAAAAGGAAAGCAAGGGTGATAAATTATAACAGTACAAAACCGCCTTCATGGTGAAGGATAATAAAGGAGTCAAACTGTAATACCGAGAACACAGGTCAGTTGTATCTGGTCTCAAATTTGGAAGAAGCTTGGATTATGTGTTGCTACCATGCATAACATTCCCGATTACTGCTAGAGAAACAATGTTCTCTGAAAAAAGTAGAAGAAAATGAAAAGTACTTTCTTCATGCCCTCCGTGAATCTCAGTTTCTCGTCACTGCATGCTGAAGTGTGTACTTGTGCCTGATAATGTTAGCTTCATTTTATATGTTAGGTTTAAGCTGAGTGTGTTCTGGTCATTCTCTTTTCACCATGCTTCAGGGTGAGTTGATGGATGTGTTGCATTGAAGATTTAAAGGTATAGAGCACATGATGAATTATCAATTTTGGTCACTGATTCGTGTTTTGCCATCATTTGCTTCTAGTCTCTCATTTTAGGCCAGTGATGATAACTGGAAAATGATGCCAGAGATATTACCTTGTTTATGAGTTTAGTATAGGTTTAAATATTGTCATCAGACCCGGCTCCAGGTTTAATAGCTACAATTCGTGATAGTGGTTGTTTCTTCATAAATGATTCTGACTCTTTTTTTTTTTTTTTTCTGTTGTCTTAAGAAAAGTGGGTATAAACAAGCCTGTTTCTTGTAAAGGCCGTCAGGATCATATCCCTTAATAGCCTCCATCATGTCAGTTCTTTACAAAGTCGTCGGCGTGATATCTTTTAAGAGCCGTCATTCATGGCCTGGTGGGGATCACTGGAAGGGGGCAGGAGTTGTTTTTCCTTGGAATAAGTATACATAAATACTTTCATAAAGTCAAACCAGCAGGAGGTGCCCAACAAATTATTATTTTTTGTACGGCACACAACTGTGATAGGGAAGACTCAGAGTCTGGTTGTTTGATTCGGTAGCTTTTATACTGTTAGTTGTGATTAGGTCGATTGATATGATTTTGATAAAAATTACAGTTGAAGTTTATATATTGTAAGAAAAAATATATATATACGATAGTGTAGTTTTATAATTGTTTTTTAAAGTATTTTTTATTTAAAAATAAATTAAAATTATTTTTTTATTTTTAAAAATTATTTTTGAACATAAAAAAATTATTATATAAAAACTGTTAAATTTTGTTTTTTAATATGATCTCGTAGCATAAGATATGGTTTGATAACATTTGATGCTATTGTTTCAGCAAATACAAAAGTTGGCAGAAAACAAAACGCAGCTTCACTAAGGTAAATTCCAAACCCCCCAGAAGGGATCCTCTCCTGCATCGAGTCTTCTGCGTAATGCCATCATGCTTCTGTTTTATTAGTTGATACAAATTCGTTAATCACTGTGCGAGCTCTGGCCAGAGCTTTAGAAATGCTGGCGAATTCATATTTTAAAAAAAATTAATTTTTTTATTAAAAATTATTATCTATATATATATATATATTGAATCATTTTGATACACTATCTCAAAAATAATTTTTAAAAATAAAAAAATATTTTAATATATTTTAATATAAAAAACTTCAAAAATTAACTACAACTACATATACAGGCAGTGAGAGAGTATATATTTCAAACATAACTTACTTCTTTATTAATTTCCATTCCTAAATTAAGAAATCAAAACAATTTAGAGTTAAAAACTGACAAAAAGAGCATACAATTTGCAAGTTTATTTATAATTGTATGAATCACTTTTTCCAGGCTCCAATGTCGGGCTGCCTTCCAAGTTTCATCCTTTTCCAGCTTCTTTCTTAAATCTCTTTCCTTGAAAACTTGCAAATTTTCAATTCCAAAGCTTCTTCTCTTCTCTCTCTCAGATGGCAGCCTTTTCATATTTTCAGCGACAAATCAATCTTCTCTCGACATATTTTCAGCCTTTTCAAAACATGGATTCAAGCTTTAAGCTACCCATCCCCTCTCTCTCTCTCTCTAGATTCTTTATTTTCAGCAACAATTTTTTTTTTTCTATGTTTATAGGTACGAGTGTAAAACTAAAACCCCACTACTGCTTATAATTTAAACACATAGGAGACTAATGGTAAAAAGAAAAGGTCTTGCCTTGCCCCTACAACCAGCTCAATGATGAACACCCAGTTCTTTTGGAATTATTTTTCACTGTCACGTTTCTAAACATGATATGATATATTATGTTATTGTGTTTTATTATTGTTTTTCTGAAGTGTAATAATTATTTTGTTATGTTTAGAAATACTAGCATTTAGTAAATATTGTGTTTTTAAAACACGGAAAAATATGTTATTTCACTGAAAAAATTTAAAATTATATTATTCTACTAAAATTTATAGAATTAAAAGGATTTTTTTTAATAAAAGGAGGAATAACTTTAATAAAAGAAAAAATAAATAAAAAG